ATGTCTGAAGTAAGTGCAATATATATATATTCCTAAAATTTTCAAATTCTCTTTTAAGTTGATCTCTTATTTTATTATAAAGTTTTAGTATGTCCTTTTTACTAATACCTCTGCTAACAGGGCTATATGCTGGACGAAAAACATCTTTAATCATTTTAACAAAATAATGATTTTCAAATAAAGAAAGAAGAGAGTCCGTAGCAACTATGTATCTTACTATTGCCTCTCGTGCTTTGTGTGCATTGTATTGCCGGGTTGAGAGAGTTGATGATTGTGGATTAAAATTAAGTTGAGTTTGAATTTGCTTACTATGTGCCATTGAAGTTGAACTAGACGGTCCGGACTACATATATTGCAAGTGCTTCTTCTCTAGGTGCCGCCGCATCATCGAAGTCCTGTGCTCAGTGTTGACAACGGTTGCAAAAAAATTACATACACCGCAAGTTTCTTGCCCCTCCTAATTTGGCTTTGCCTGTTTTGATTTGGTGAAGTATTGCCATACCCCGGACCCAACCTTCTTTGACGATCTTGTCGTGCTTGTGGTGTTGCAGCTCGCTTGTGTTTGGCTGCATGCAGTCTCGACTGTTTTTGGTTGTGGAATTGCTGCCTCTAGAAAGGGTGAAAATTGATTGAACCCTTCCATTTCTTTGGTGGATAGAACATAATACTCATTTGGGGATGATCTTTCGAATGCATAATTTCAGGAATCCATTATTAATTTATGATAAAATAATAAATAACTAAGATGGAAGAAATTGAATGATATGAATAATCTAGTTGATGATTATGGATTAAAATTAAGTTGAGTTTGAATTTGCTTACTAGGTGCCATTGAAGTTGAACTAGACGGTCCGGACTGCATATATTGGGGGTGCTTCTTCTCTATGTGCCACCGCATCATCGAAGTCCTGTGCTCAGTGCCAACCACGGTTGCAAAAAATTACATACACCGCAAGTTTCTTCCCCCTCCCAATTTGGTTTTGCCGGTTTTGATTTGGTGAAGTATTGCCATACCCCAGACACAATCCTCTTTGACGGTCTTGTCATGCTTGTGGTGTCGCAGCTCTCTTGTGTTTGGCTGCACGCAGTCTCAGTTATTTTTGGTTGTGGAATTGCTGCCTCTAGAAAGGGTGAAAATTGATCGAACTCTTCCATTTCTTCGGTGGATAGAACATAATACTCATTTGGGGATGATCTTTCGAATGCATAATTTCGGGAATCTATTATGAATTTATGATAAAATAATAAATAACTAAAATGGAAGAAATTGAATGATATGAATAATAGATGAAATTGAAAAATGGAAGAAATTGAATAAAATAAATAATAATATGAATAAATATAAATATAAATTGACGAGAGTTTGAGAATTGGAGTAGGGAGAATGAGAGATTTATAGTTGTGAGTTGTGAGGAAAATGGAGGAAAATGGGGTTATTTATAGTTTAGGTTTGGGAGGAAAGTGAAAGAAAAAAAACTTTTCCCCCCATGACCGTTGGCTAAACGGTCGAATATATATATATTGTAAATTTTTAGTTTAACCCTTATATTTATTATCAATTCAATATAAAACAGGGGGTTTTGATATTTGCCAAGGGTGTATAAGAAAAAAAAGGTGGGGGTTTGGGCCTTGGCTTGGGATTGGTTTTAGGCTCGTGCCTTGGAGGAGGGACCAACCTAAGGACCGGTCCCTCCTTTTGGGCCTAGGTCTGGGCCCAGGCCCTATAGGATGAGTCCTCCTAAAGGCTGGTCTTGGGTGCGTTTTTTGGGCATCCCATTGGGCCAAGACCCAAATTCCCACCTCTATAAGTTATATACTTTGTGGTCCTGTGGATTTGATACAATACATATGTCTATTATATTGGATTTAAGATAAAATTATTTCATGAAGTAATCAGCTTTTTTCCACCCAAGGTTTGCCTTAATGACACTTTCCCACCCAAAGAATTTTCAAAATACCACATTTCCATCCAGAGTTTATATTCTGTTAATTCCTAAAGTCGATTTCAGTGGCAAAAATTCTCTCTGTCACTACCATTTAAACCTCCAGTCTCTTCTTTACAAAACCCTTCTCACTTCAACACTTGATTTCTCACCGATTGCTAGCCACTGCAAAGCTAGAGTTTTCTGTTCTTAATTGATTTTCAGCTGATTCCAACGGCCTGTAGGGATTTTATTGAATTATACGCGAAATATAAAACAAAATTTATTCAATTTAACCCGTTAATCCCACGATCAAGATTGATATATGCAACCCATTTATAAAATAAAAACAACCCATATAAGGTTTGTTGTTATTACCTGCGTTTGGAGGCTCCTTTGGGTTCTTTGATTTACTTTTCGCTAGTCGATTCAACATGGAATCATTCTTGAGAAGTCCACACAAAGGCAAGAAGGCGAATCCACAAGCAAGGAAGTTTGCTAGAATCCTGGGTGTAAGAAGAGAGAAGACGCAAATTTGGGAGAAAGAATTTCTCTGTAAAAAACTTAATGGGTGGCTAGGGTTTTCCTTTTGGAGAAAATAATGAACTCTTATGAATTTATGATTAACTCTCCTATCCCTTTTCTTTTATAGTGGGGATTAAAATATTCCCCATTAAGAATAGGAATATTTCTATTCCTATTTTGGAATAGGATAATTCCCAATTTAAATATATATTCCTAATAAATAAATATGAATATTTATTTATCACTATATTTAATTAATGGGATATAAAATATATTTAATTATATAAAATATATTTAATCCACATTAATATTAGTGTTTTATATTAATATTAATACAATTATAATTTTGCTAAATTAACCTCAATATAAATATTGAATTTGGGTAACGACCTTCAGCGAATTTAATCGCACAACAAAATTACCAAAATACCTTTTTCATCTAAAAGACGAAAGTACCCTTCCATATTCATTCTCAATAAAACTGTCTTTAATGTGTGTGACTTGTAGACTCTTTATTATGTTGACAATGACTAGATTTATAATTAATCATCAACTAATTAGTGTTCCGTACACCAATCAAGATTGGCCGCTAGCAAGGCATCACGATTACACAACAAATAAAGATTCAGTGAAGTAGCTACTTTTCAACAGTATGATTACCATGCAATTCAAATCCTTTCATCATTATTTATCTCATTAAGGTTTAAAGTACAGAAGTAGTGTCAACTTTAATGAATTTACCTTGATATGTTTATATTCGGTTGTCGAATCAATAATTATATAAATTGGATTCAAGCACTGACTCAATTCCACTGTGGCTGCAGATTTTGCGGTCATAGTTTCTAACTGAATATATCAGCAAGATAATTTCTACTGTAACTAGAAGTGATGAATCCTTTGTTGATCCACCATAGCCATAGTGTACTTCTCGATGTAACCAACGACTACCGTACTGATAACCCTAAATAAGATTACGTTAGGCTACTGTCAAAGTACATCAATAATTACACATGACGCTCTGGTGATCTTAAGTCGAGGGATCACATGCACCACCAACCGTTGGAGAATATATTTCATAGACATTGCTGTCACCATCTTATGTGGAGTCCTTTAGTGGGTCGGTCTAGTGAACTTGTCATTAACAAGCACCCATGTTTCGCACTAGGTTGTCACCTAACAACCTTGATATGTGAAAACTGTCATTACCTTTCGGTAGGGTCGTTCAACGTTATGATAACCTTACTGTATAATCTGTGTCCTTGGTCAGATTAATACTAAGGCTACAAACAGTTCTAAAAATGACACTATATGTGATCATAAGGTCTTCACAATTAAGATTTAGAATACTTAATTCTCTCGTTATGGTTCAACCATTCTAAGGACATATATCAATATGTATACGAATATATAAATTAATGCTATGATATAGAAGTTATGCCTTTATTGATATTCAATAATATTATTACAAATGTAATATTATTAGCTCTAGTGCACCTACCCTAACAAAATATTTAATCGGTCACCACCATTCGATCCACTCTACTAAACCGCTCTTACCTTGACTCTTGGTAACTTGTTGAACGTCAGCTCAGAAAGTGAAGTGTATTTTCAGTATTAGTGGAATATAAACTTTGGGTGGAAAAGTGGTATTTTAAAACTTTTTAGGAAAGATTCTTTTAAGGTAAACTCTTATTTATTTCATCAATAATACTATACTTACAAAGATTTCCATACAAAGTGAGATGACAAAAAATGAATAGAATAATAAAACAAAAAGTTAAATTTATTAAATTCATTATTCTTTTTATTTTTTATCACATTAATTTATAAGATTTTTTTTTATAAGTGTAGTATTATTCTTATTTCATATCCCTATTTCTACTTGATGGTGTAACTTATTTCATACCCTCGTTTCTCCTTGATAGCGTAACTTTTTACACTTGTACTTCAGAAGTTTCAATGGTGCTTGATCTTGACCAGCTTTAATGTTATATTATATAAATTATAAAATATTGTATTATTATTTCTGCAAATGCAAAGGATTTCGAATCATCGCCTTGTCTTCAATGCTTTAACTTATTCACTTCCAAATAAAGTCAACATCTTTATCTATACCCACGTAGCAAGAACAGTTTGTATTGAATTTTAATATTAATAAAAAATCCAAAAAGAATCCAATATCAAGGTATAATCAAATTACAAACTTTTTATTTCACAAATATACAGCAATAACCATGTTTATTTATAGAGATATATTATTCGATGAATATAAATGGCAAAATGTTTATAGATATGGGAATCCGCGTTCTTCGTTTCTGTTTTATGCCCACAGTTTCTTCTTCTTTACAGGTGGATGCTGATGCTATCATGCTATACTCGTTTTTACCTTTTATTATACATCTAAGAAAAACTGACCAAGTTTTGCATGTGAAGAATTTTAAAGGTGAGTTTCTTCTACTTTTTAAGTCTCTCTGAAACCATTTCTGGGTCCATTTCTGTTACTGTTAACTTTTTTTTTTTCTTTACACTTTCCTTTTCATGGTTGCTTGCTGTTCAAATCCATTCATATTGATATCTAATTTGTCATTATTAATTAATGATTTTACCAATGAAAATTAAGAAAACAACAAGTACGAAGCTTAGTTGCATCTTGCTTAATTGGGACGGCAAACCAATAGTTTTCATATTTTTATAATTACATTGTCAAAGCATCTTTCGTTTTTATTTGTCATTTTCTCATTACATCTTGTTCATTGTTGTTCATTATTCCTTAATCTTATCATTTCTTAATGTTACCCTTAGATTGTATCATATCATTACGTCTTGTTCATTGCTGTTTATTATTCCTTAAGGGTTGGCGTAATCCTATGCATTAATATTTGATTATTTAATATTCCTTTCATGTGGCGAAACTTCTTAGAGCTTTCCTGGATTTCTATTCATAGAATAACACAGTGAAAGTTTGTAGTGATTGACTCGACTTCCCTTTATTGGTGGACTTAGAACCATATTCGGTGCTTAATTGCTGCAATCCTCTTTTGAATTAAAGACAAACTCTCGATATTTTGCAGTATCGTAACAATTTTGAAGAGGTTTCCTAGGCAAGGCTCTAGGTTATATTTAAGTCCCTTTCTTATAGTTGTCATTCTTATCTTTCTATCAGTCATTTCATTGCATTCTTCTCCTACGGAGTATTGTAAGTCTCCTACTTCTCATTTGAATGTTAATTCCCATCTTTCTCTAACTAATTTTTGGGGGTTGAATCGAACTGAAAGGCTCTTCTTGGTTGTTGTTGTTGTTGTTTATTTGTTCCGGTTTACCACCTCTAAGTGACACTAGGAATTGGGTTTCTGGGTTTCTAAGTGACACAAGTTTTTAGTACGAATACTTTGTTATGTGCATCTTTCTTCTGTGGTTATTATCTATTTCTGTGTTCCTTCATAATGAGTAATGATCAAATTGTGACAGATTTTAGATACACTGTTGTATCTTTTGAAATATTATATATTGCTCCGCTGATATGTTAAGCTAATGCTAGTCTTGTAAAATCTGTGCCATGTAACCATGACTTGGTTGCCGAGGTGGACTGCATTAGTCGCAAGTCGGTGCAGAGCAGAGAAGTTAGAGGGTTTTTAGCGTGAGCCCGTATATCTGGGAAGTCTGTTACTTGCTGTTATTGTAAAGTGTATATGAACTAAGCTTCACAGCAAAATCTGCAGTAATTCTCATCACTAAAATTTCCAGAATTCTTCTGTTTTTCTTACTGTTCATTCTGTTGATCTTTACTGGCTTAGGTTATTTCGTCTATCTCACTATGACCACATAGCATAGAGTAATAATTATCGTTTTCTTGTTTCAATCCTTTCTATTTTGTTAACTTGCCATTCCATCTAAAAACTTAAGCTAGTAGCTGAGGGCTCAACACATATTAGATCAATAGGCTCCCTCACATCAAACTTTGGATTTTTTGTCATTTCTCTTTATCCAGCTTGTATGTGGAGATTCGAACTTAAGATCTTTGACTCTGATACCATGTTAAGTTGCCATTCACGTATATTCTCATAAGTTTTAGACAAATTGGGCATGTGTAACATATACGCACCAACTTGAGGGCGAGTGTTGAGATTTACTGAATATTTTGTAATCTCCTATTTATGTTAGTATATTGTAGGATACTTAATTATGTCAATATATTGTAGGATACTCTTGATATTTTGTAATCTCTTAATTATGTGAGCTCTTCCTATGTAATGTTTGTAACCTTGTAGTAGAAATCAATGAATTGAAACATACAATTCTTAAATTAAACATATTTGACTTCTGCATTTTTTAACATATTACAGTATTAAGCAGATGGGGAATCTGTTCTGTTGTGTACAAGTTGACCAGTCCACAGTACTGATTAAGGAGAAATTTGGCAAGTTTGATGACGTCCTTGAACCTGGATGCCATTGCCTACCATGGTTCCTCGGACATCAGATTGCCGGCCACTTGTCTCTGAGGTTGCAGCAGTTAGATGTGCGTTGTGAAACCAAAACAAAGGTCTGTCTATATAACTCTTTATAAATATAATTTAACCTCAGTTATGTCACACTCTTTTTGGCATCTGTAACTTATCTTGAAATTATTATTATCTCTATATGTGGGGGTTGGGAGAAATAGAGACACTACCACTGAGACAAATAAATCTTTTTGGCAATTAACCAGGACAATGTTTTTGTCAATGTTGTTGCGTCTATTCAATATCGTGCCCTGGCAGATAATGCAAGTGATGCTTTCTACAAACTCAGCAACACAAGGCTCCAAATTCAGGCATATGTATTTGATGGTACAAATTAAATCTTTACTTAACGCCATTTGAAATACGTGTAGTGCTTTCACTCACACAACACAGCATCACAAGGATGTACTTGTATGTTATTTATCATCTTCCACCCAATTGTTTAGTGATTAGGGCAAGTGTTCCCAAGCTAAATCTGGATGATGCTTTTGAACAAAAAAATGAAATAGCTAAAGCTGTGGAAGATGAACTCGAAAAGGTAATCAATATTATTCTATATGCATAGCTGTTATTGTGAGAGCCAAACTTCATTTTCTTGTGGTACATGACCACTAGTTGGTTTAAATAGTGAAGCTTATGTGTTTGTACTGTTTTCTCCATTATTTCCCACAGGCTATGTCTGCTTATGGGTATGAGATAGTGCAAACACTCATTGTTGACATTGAACCAGATGAGCATGTGAAGCGGGCAATGAATGAAATTAATGCTGGTAAAGTATTTTATTTATCTCCACTAAGTTGATGAGTACAAAACTTTTTTTAAATTGTCCTCTGATTTAGATGAGCAACTAGTTTAACTGTATTCTGCACATTAGACAGTGGCAGATTTCTGAGGGGCATACCCCCTTTACCAATGTCTTCCTACATTTTATCTTGAACTCTGATGGGCAGAATTTCATGTTCTCAGACTCTGATGTCATTTTTATAAGCACTTGATTTTAGCTTAGGAATTATTGAGATGAAAACATATCAAACAGACATTCTTGTTCTTGTGGCCTTCGTGTTTTTAACAAAGAATTAAGTTTATGTATATCGATAACTTTTCTCCGAATGAAAAAAAAAAAACATTTTCTATATGAGTTGCCCGGGGACGTTATATTAGTATATTTCACTAACGTTGCAGGAAGATACTAGCTTCTCAGAACTGTTGCAACGCTAAAGGGGAAAAATATCTCGATGCAGATAAATTTGTTGTCCACTGTATTCATATCAGAAGCATGACATAGCTCTTGGATGGTGATATACCAATTAGTCATTGCCTATGATCCTGCCATTTCATTATATAATGTTCATTTTTCAGAGAAATTTGAAATCTCAAAGTATGATTTTGTTCAATGAAATGTTCTTATTGTTTTTTACTCTTTCAGCTGCAAGACTGAGGGTGGCGGCCAATGAAAAAGCTGAGGCAGAGAAAATTTTACAAATCAAAAGAGCTGAAGGTGAAGCAGAGTCCAAATATCTCTCAGGGCTTGGTATTGCCCGCCAGAGACAAGCAATTGTAGATGGATTAAGAGATAGTGTGCTGGGGTTCTCTATCAATGTTCCAGGGACTACTGCAAAGGATGTGATGGACATGGTCCTGGTCACCCAATACTTTGACACAATGAAGGAAATTGGTGCTGCTTCAAAATCCTCTGCTGTCTTCATTCCCCATGGACCTGGTGCTGTTCGCGATGTAGCTACCCAGATCCGTGATGGACTTCTTCAGGCTGCTTCTCAACAGTAATTTGCTACTTATCAAGGCATATATGGCGTTGATGTTTGGATAACAGTCATGCATTTGTGATTTCCATCAAGTTTTCATGCGTCTGGTTTTGTTAATTGACAATCTATTATAGCTACTAGCGTGCATATGATATTAAGCAAGTTATTCTGCTCTATGAAGATAATGTGCGTACTTGGTAATAGATTATAGTAACTTTGACTTATAAAGGGACCATGCTGATGCCTCATTCTTATTATCTGCATACATTTTATCACACCAATTATGCATTTCAACAGGAGCTTGCTGGTGCTCTTCAAATGCCAGTATCCTTATCAGAAAGTTCTGCACCATAATGTCATATAACACACGGCACAATATGGCATGAGAAATAACCATCACAAAATATGACACACAATTTCATATATTTTCTTCATTCTTTTACCAGAATCACTTAAAACTCTCTGGTTATTGATCTATCAAAGACTTCAGTGGAAAATTGCTGTAAAACAAGGATGCAGCCGGGTATAAACTGTTTGCTATTTATGTGGAAATTGAATTGCTTTGAGTTATTTATGAGATGAAACATGTGAATGCTTTTAGAATCATAGTAACCGAAACAGATGGATTGGTGCTATACAGCCATACAAATTCCCAAATATCTTGTGATTAATGGGAATTTATATTCAATAATACTAGATTGATGGCTCACTTCCACATAAATTATGAGTAAATACTATCCTATTATGACATGTGTCTCAGAGGAAACATCAAGCAAATCCTATTTTAAATTAATAAACATCTTCATTTTTCTTCGTCATTTTAGGCCTTTATTAGGTTAGTGATCATTATCTAAAGGTTGACAATCCCCTGTAAATGTATACATTTCAGAATTGTTGTTTAGTATTTCTTAATCATGTTACCCGTTAATTGTATGTTGACAGAAAATTTACTGTTCTAGTTCTGTAACGTTTGTTTTTTAACACTACTAAGGCCCTAATTTTGAGGTTTATTTAATACTTCATCAATAATAATTCTTCTCATTCATAGCTTTCACTAAGTCTGGTCTTGTGGCTGCAGCTCAGATATTAAATTTTGATATCTCTTCTTAATCTTGTAAAAGTTCCATTCAAATGATAGACTTGCCTTTGTTGGTATTATTCATATTGCAAATTTTCATGTAAGTAAAGATATATTTGAGACGTTTCCTTTCCTCGGCCAGTGCTTGGTCATATTTAGAGTTGTTACTCATATACTTCTGTCACTCATTTTTTGCATTGCTCCTCGATACTTTTGTAAGTCTCCTCTTCCAAATCGTCATTGTTGTGTTGAATTGAACATGGGTAATCTGTTCCGCTGCATACAAGCTGAGCAGTCCACAGGAGTTATTAAGGAGAGATTTGGCAAGTTTGAGGAGGTACTTGAACCTGGATTCCATTGCTTACCATGGATCCTTAGACATCAGACAGCTGGTCATCTGTCTCTTAGGTAGAGGCAGTTAGATGTGCGCTGTAAAACCAAAACAAAGGTATGTCCGTCTGTATAACTCATTATAGATTTAGTTTCACCTCGGTTATGTCATTATCTTTATATGCATATGTAACATTGCTGGAATTATTTACCAGGGCAATGTCTTCATCAGTGTTGTTGCATTTGTTCAATATCGTGCCCTGGTAGATAAGGCCAGTGATACATTCTACAAACTCAGCAACACAAAGTCACAAATTCAGGCATATGTATTTGATGGTACAAAATAAATCTACCATTTGAGTTACATTTTGTGCTTTTAATTATACACACAATCACATGTATGTTCTTGTAAGGTGTGCATATATATATATATATATCATCCTCTATCCAATTGTTCAGTGATTAAGGCAAGTGTTCTGAAGCTAAATCTGGATGATGCTTTCGAACCAAAAAAAGAAAGAAATTGCAAAAGCTGTGGAAGATGAACTTGAAAAGGTAATCAAGTGATTTTATGAATGTTGTGGAGGACAACCTTCATTAGTTTCTGTTTATTGGGGAGCTTATGTGAGATAGTGTTTATAATGTTTTCTTCATTATTTCTCACAGGTTATGTCTGCTTACGGGTATGAGATCGTTCAAACACTCATTGTTGAGATTGAACCAGATAAGCATGTGAAGTGGGCGATGAATGACATTAGCGCTGGTAAATTATCTAGTTCCAACATAAACTGGTAAGTGTAAAACTCTTTGATTTTTCCCTCAATCATAGGTTGTTGCATAGCATCTTGCTTAACTGTACATATAAAATAGCGGTTCTTTAGGGAAAGTTCCTTTCAATGGTTCCATATGGGTCGAATCTCATTTCCTTTGACAGTATTGTCATTATTTATGTGCATAATTTGGTCTAGGAAATTACGTAGGTGAAAATACACCAAATATCCATTTTGCTTCTCTTTGCATGTTATAAGGAATTATACTATTTGATAATGTTTTGCTTATAACTGAGTCATACAAACAGATAAAAATTACATAAAATTCATGTAAAATGACTACTTTGTCCTTGGTTTTTTGTTTGTTTGTATAACTCAGTTGTAAGTATAATATTATTCTATACTATTTTTCTCTGTCTTTCCTCAAGTAACTGAACAAAAACTTCCAAATGATTTGCCAGGCACACTATGTTTAACACTCCTACATTTTGTTCAATGAAATTTTCTAACTGTTTTCTACTCTCTCAGCTGCAAGACTGAGAGTGGCAGCGAGTGAAAAGGCAGAGGCAGAGAAACTTTTACATATCAAAAGAGCTGAAGGTGAAGCTGAGGCCAAATATCTGTCAGGGCTTGGTATTGCACAGGGCTTGGTATTGCTTGAGACAGTGTGCTAGGATTCTTCATGAATGTGCCAGGAACCACTTCAGAGGATGTCATGGACAGGGTCCCAATACTTTGACACCGTGAAGGAAATTGGTGCTGCTTCTAAGTCCTCAGCTATCTTCATTCCCCATGGACCTGGTGCTGTTCGTAATGTAGCTACACAGATCCGTGATGACCTTCTTCAGGCTAGTCACCAGTAATTTGTTAAAAATCAAGGCTTAACATTGGGTTATATTCTGGACAAGTAAGGGTATTATAACCAAGTAAGGGTATTTCTTTTTCGTTTAAGTTTCCATGTTTTCTGGTTGTTAATTATGATTGTCAATTAGTCTCAAGCTAGCTATATGAAAAACTGCTTGAATATCAAAGTGACAAACCCGTATAGTTAAACCTCTGCGTCATGACAGCACCAGTTATGTCTGCTTCATGAAGAGGCCTTCTGCAATTTGTTCACTTGTTACATTCGGTCACAGCATTTACAGATAAACAGTAGCAGCTGCACTTTAAACGGTCTGCAACATGATTTGATAAAAAATCTCTAAATATCTGAAATTTCGCCATTTACTGACAAATTTTACTTCTTTTCTAGGGTTCAGGGTTTAAGATTTATATTATAAAAAAGTATTAACAGCTTGCAGTTCAAATGCATTGTCAAAACCAAGTCCTTAAATTTTCCTGATGAAAACAGCAGAGGAATAAATTTTTATTTGTTATTATTTATCATTCTTTATGAAAAGCTGAATACATATTTCCAATGCTCCATCAAGGTACTACAGAGGTTAACCAAGAGAATAATTTCCCCCATTACATGCTTGATTGAAGATATGAAGATATATAATTACAATAATACTATACTTACAAAGAAATTTTACAAAAATTTATATACAAAGTGAGGTGATAAAAAATGAATAAAATAGTAAAACAAAAAGTCAAACTTATTAAATTTATTTTTTTATTCATTTTTTTTTTTTTTTTTTTTTTTAATTTTTTTTTTATTTTTTTTTGTAATTGTAGTTTTACTCTTATAACTATCGCACCAGTAAAATTACAATCATTAGATGCTGTTGTTATTAGTGTCTTCTGAACATGAAAACATCTTCTATAATATTATATTACTTTAAGGCGCGAGAGCCGCAGAAAGACCGATCTTGGGACGCCTCCTGTCGTTGTCCTTAAAATCAAATTCTCCAGCAATAGATAGGAAGAACTTTTGCCAGAAACCTTGCTGAATAAGAGCACCCACCTTGCCGTTACTGTCCATACGAGCCTTCACCAATGTAGAAGGAAACAGTTCATGCTGGCCACCAACTGTCAAGATGGTCGTCCTTTCAATAAAAAAACTATGCTTCAATTCCGCAGCAATGGCACTCCTGGACAGGGGGTTCAGTGGTTGGTAATAGGAGGCTTTTAAAGTGTCAAGTTTATCATTCCTGCATTATTATAAAGGCTTAGCATTAGTTTCTTGAAAATCAGGTAACAAATTTTAAAGGTTGAATTAAGGAAAACAAAGAATCTTGGTTTAGTCTTTTCGACTTTTCTCATAGGGTTGCTCACAAGGTCAATGAAGCAACAAGGAAAGGACTATTGAAGGTTAAACCGGCATTGATTTTGTTGAATGTGCTTGCTGACATGTCAAAGGCGATATCAGTCCCAAGGGAGACTAAATCGGTTCCAATTACACCTGAAAAATTAACGACAGGGTCGAGTCCTATAGAGGGTTCATTTCCTATAGAGTGGTGGTTGCTCATCTTCAATCCAGAGCCTGCAGTAATCCCAACATAGTCGTGCAAGAATCGTAGTTCCACCTGCAATTAATTTCAATTATATTTGTTCTAATACTAAGCATGTGTGGACTTATTGCATCACATTTTAACTATTCGTCATGGAAAAGTTCTGATAGAATTGTAAAAAAGGAGATAATAATGTTCATACCTTTCCAGAATCAGGAATGGTAAATCTTAAAGCCGTTTGCAGTCCAGGCACAATACTTTCCACTGTATTGAAGTTCAAAATATAATTACATGATGCCTCTCATTGACACAATATGCATGCAGAGTTTACAATTACATGGAAAATGAGACACTGAAAGAGAAATTTCAATTTCATTAAATATCAGATTGATGGTAGATCAATTACTCTGACAGGAGAGATCAACATTCCAGTCGACCCATTGGTAACTGAAGTGAAATGGTGGTTGTTGAGCATAACCCTTGTAAAGAAGATCTAAAAAAATGAGAACAAGTAAAGTATTAGCAAATATCAATCAATTGTAACGTGAAGTAAAAATCAAAAACATTAAAATTAAGAAAAATGGGAAGATGTAAAGAATGATACAACCTCTGGCTTTTTTGCCAATATGGAAGTATAAACCAGGAGAACTGCTCATTTCAGGTTTAAACTTAAAAACAGTAAAGACCACACTTATATTTTAACCTATTATGATTTGTTGGCAACGAGGTTTAATTTATTGAGAATGGATAGAATAAGCCGAAGAGGAAGCTTCCTGATGTAGGACCAACCATATAAAGGGAAATTTCCAAGAATTCATTCATCTTCAGCTCATTGCAAGCCCCATCAACACCCATTCACCATATACTTTTGTCATAGTTCCCACATGTAGCTCCAAGATGGACGTATTGATGATGAAACTTTAAGCAAAAATAGAAGAGAAGTGAAGTCATACATCTCTGCTGAAATTGTACTGAGAGTTTAATTACCACTTGCTTAAAATTTACATCAGATAATTCTTTAAACAGCTTAGATGAACTGAACCAGATTAAACAAGTAAAGATACTCCATTCAATTTGTTGTGTTGATACAAAATTTTGCGCCAACTAGAGCGATCCGATTGACTTTGATGAAATCGAAACGGATGTGTGCGTGAGTAATGTAACTAGCAATGAAGGAATAACGAATGCAGTAAAGTAAATGGCAAAAAATGATTTTAAAGTGGTTCGGTGAGATGAACTCTTGAGCCTATGTCCACTATTATTTGTATTTGCTGTGAGAGCTTACAGTAATAATTCTAGGAATATTTTCCAACTCCTTCCTCATTGTTTGAGGGGGTTTAAATACAAATTTTGTACAAAGAAAAAAGCGAAATTAAAGGGATTGCAAATAAATTAAAATGCAACTCCGATATTCTTGCGATTGGGCGCCATGATTGCACAAAGATTGTGGTCAATCTGATCATTCTTGAGATATTTGGGATCTGAAGTTATCTGGGAATTGATTGAACGATCATTCGGATTGTTTGCGACTAGCTTGTGTTGAGTCGACCTATATCTCGATGAGCTTGTGCTGGGTCGGACAATCAGTGGAGTCGAGCTAGTTTTGGATAAAACTATATCATCGCGATTCTTCAAGCTTGATGGAAAAATCACACACAACATCTGTCCCCTAGTATTCGATGTTCGTTTCGAGCTTCAAAGACTATTACTCGATTTAATATCAAGCTCGATGTCGTCAGTAGGCCATCAGACCCAGGCTCAGTCGAGCTTCGAGAGTCAAACCCATGATTGGTCAACGTACTTCACACTTGGATCTTCTTTCCTTTGTGACACCTGTCAAACTCGGAATATGAATGGTTAGGACAATTGTGTAAATTCCATGTAGTCATGTCGCATTACATGCGGCAGCCTTTGACAGTCATGTTTCATCGCACGTGGGTGACTACAGCTGTCCACGAGCGGAGTTGAGGCGATATGCGGCGACGGTTATGATCACAGTAGTCTGATGGTTCATCGCCCCTCGTGGATGGCTGTCATGTGGCCACGTCCAAGGGCTAGGATTGCTCGATAAATAGAAGGTCGAGATTCACTATAGATCGACAGTTACGATCGAACCCCGCCCTTTTGTCTCCCATGCAAGCCACTATAAAAGTGAGCGAAGTCATCATAAACTTACTCAACTTGCGAAAAATTCTTTGATGTCTTTTACTTATTCTGTTGTTGCTTCATCATTGTCACGGTGCTCTTTCTAGCGAGTTCTTCCCATTCTCTTATTCCAGTAAGGCTTCTTTCTTTCTCTTTAGTTGCTTTCTTGATTTTTGCAGCTAAGGGTGGCCATTGTCGTGGCCACATTGAGTCTTCTAGGGCTTTACTAGGGTTTTTAAGCATATCTCCAGCGGCCTTGGGTTTAAGGAGGGCTTATCACGATGGCTACCAAAAACCTAGGTAGGTCGCGTGAATTTATTGTTTGGTGTAAGCTATCTCGGGTGCTTAAATTGAAAGCAGTGTGGATAGGTCGTCGAGTTTTTCGAGCTTTGACACATGTTTGCTTTTGATTTAGGTACCCAAAAGCGAGCTTTAACTATGTCCTCATCCAGCAGCCACACGATTGATTGCATGTTTGATTCACTCGCGGGTTCAGCAGCCCCCGGGGGTATAATCCGAGGACTTGAGGCGCATAAGAGAGATTTATGCGCCGCAACTCAATTTGATGGTTCCCGGGAATTCTTCTCCGAAGAATCCTCTACCCAGGTGGGTAACGACCTCTGAGACCCTCTTGAGATGTGGGGTATCTAGTCCCCCTCATTATTTTATTGACAACGTTCTGAGACAGTTCGACATCGTTCCTCTCCAATTGTCCCTGAACTCATATGTCATAATCATAGGTCTGTATATAGCATACACGATCGCTAGTTTGGGCGACCCATCCGTCAAGGAGCTCATCCATTTGTATAGACTAAAGAAAGGACAAGAGCAAACGTACTACCTTTTCAAGGTGAGGAAGGTATGTTTCAACCGGTTGGTTGACGTCCCAAAGAAGATCCCACATTGGGACTCTCAATTTTTCTTTTATGAGGCTTGGGAGACCATCATTTTCGCTTCGGAAGTGAGTAAGATTTCAAACTCGCAACGCGTATGAAGATCGCTTTCAAGCTTTATTTTTAAGCTAACTGAGTTGCTTTGCTTTGCAGTTAACGTTGAGCAAAACTATCTCCCCACTGCGAGCTTAGAGAGGCTCCAACGCTTCAGCGACCTTCTCGATAGACAACATAACGTCAATGAGATCATCACGCTTCCTCATTTAAGGATGTATGGCTTCTGTTAGGAGAACGCTAAGTTTCTTACCATTCTCGAGAAAGGTTAAGTTATTGCTTGCTCGCGATTATTTCTCCCGCATAGATAGGTCGTTCATAGTTTGCTTCTCTTTTTTGCAGAAATGTGGGCCAAGAAACCAAAGGGCCTTAAGAAGAAGGCGATAACTTCTGCGGCTGCCAAGAAAACGCTTGTTGGTTAGGTGATGAAGCAGCCCACTGATATTTCTAGCGTGAAGCGTAGCGAGGGCGAACTTGGGGAAGACCCAAGTGCGAAGAAGCTCGCAATTACCTCAAAGGTAGTTGGTGGGAAAGGTACGCACAAGCCCCAAAAGAGGCCGGCAAAAAAAGCACCCAGGCTAACGAAAGGCTCGGGAAAACATAAGGCACCTGAGTAGTATGATGGCTCCGGTAAGAAGAAATTGGTCGAGCCCCTAGGGGGCTCGAGGAAGCAAAAGGTGGTCGAGCAGCAGGTTGGCTCGGGCAAGGAGGCCGTTGTGTAGGCTGGCGACCCAAAGAAGTCGGTGGCCAAGGATTCGGCCAAGAAGAAATCCACTCCCACGGGTGAGACTGTTGTTGCCAAGGGAAGTAAGTCTAGCTCATCTTGATAGGGAGGCAAGAAGATGGACGAGGCAGCTCGAGCCGTGGTCGATGCTTTGATTGACCAACTCCCCAACCATATCAGCGTTGGGGCTGCGGCGGCTAGGGATGGCATCACCCCCCGAACATTTGCGTGTGTTAGAGACTTGTCTCCCACCTAGGTGTTGGCCTGGGTGTGCAGCTATATGGCGAAGGTACTAGTAGCTCACCCCTTTTTTCTTTTATCACTACTTGCTGACTTTCCATCCTATCTCTCTTTTTTTTTTTTAGGCTACCATGGCGAGTAGGCTTCTCTACGAAGAGTACTATCCCACGTTGGAGGGCACTCATAAAGGGTGACAACTGGCGAAGACAGTGAAGGAGGACTCTTTGGCCAGCGCCGAGGTTGCGGAGAAGAGAAGGATGCCAAGCAAGCTAAACTCGAGTGGCTCAAGAAGGAGATGACGACCTTTAGGGTCAAGGAAAGGGAGTTCCAACAAAATCAAGGTCAACAAGGCTGCAAGAGCTAAGGCTAAAGCGAAAGCAACCGAGGCAGAGAAAAGTTTGGCACAATAGTGGGGTACTAATAACAAGCTAAATTCTAAGCTTTGCTCAACCCAAAAAGCTGCTTTGGATTAGGAGGCCAAGTTCAAATAGACCTCGCTCGACCTTGCTTAGGAATGAAAGGTTGATGAAAAGCTAAAGTTGAGGCCGGGCAACTTAGACTTCAAATTGAGGAACTGAATGAGCTCATCACCATTCGGGTTTGGCAGACGTCAGTCTTCCTCATGCAGAAGTTGTGGAAAGCTCACCCTTCGATCAACTTCTTTTTCCTCTTGCGAGCTTATTAGAGAGAGGTCGATAAGATGAGGACCGAAGCTCAAGGAATGGCCTACATATTCTCAGATGATTTCGAGGATGATGGTGAGGGCCAAGAAGGGGTCGAGGAAGGTGAAAAGGAGATTGACCTAAGCAAGAAGTCAAGGATCCGACTCCCCTGGCTACACTCCCCCCCAAAACTATCGATCTTTCTCCGGGCGAGGCTTCAAACCTTGAAGAGGCTACTACCAACCCTTCCGTTGAGGAATCGTCTCTTCCAGTCAGCGACGAGCACCATGGCTTGGCCAAAGATGATGTCCCTGCTCCCCCACCTACCTGAAAGATTATTATATATCTTTTTTTTTTTTTTTTTTTTTTTAAGTTGTAATCGAACTTTATAATGAATAGAAGATGTTTTGATGTATCCCTATTGAGCAATCTTCAATCATCCTAGTTGGACTTGTCATAAAAAATTTGAATTTGCTTCAAGTTATGCGTAGCTCGCTTCTTGAAGAGTTTTTTTTTAATATATGCAAGGAAATCCTATGCGACAACTTCAATTTTGGATCCATTGTCCGTTTCGAGTTTTGGTCGCCAGCTTAGGGCCGATTTCTTTCGACGTGTCTTTCTTGAATTTTTTCAAGTTTAACTTTGTTGATTTGGGATATTTCACCCTTGTAGAGTAGGATTTTGACATGGCTTATTGAGATAAGCTACCTTTTTTCCGACTCTTGACTTTGAGTTCTTTTTTAAATGCTATCACGTAGGTTGCGATTTTTGAAGCGATGAATAATACATGTTAAATGAGTAAAAATAACAATGATGAACTAAGAAAGGTTTGAATAATACCTCTTTTATTGATAAAGCATTTTGGCCATGAACGACTTTACAATGAATGATAAAAGAGAGACATGGGTGGAACCCGAACTGCTCATTGGTAATACTTTCGTAAATACTCGGCATTCCAAGCTTGCAGTATTGCT